CTAAACCCTAACCCCTAACCCCTAAACCCCTAAACCCTAAAACCCTAAACCCTAAACCCTAAACCCCTAAACCCCTAAACCTTAAACCCCTAAACCCTAAACCCTAAAAAGCCTACCCGGCCGAAACCCGCAAGGACATCAAGGAGATGGCCAAGAGCAAGGCCGCCATGTTGTTTTCGCCACTGCCATCTGCGTCTGCACCAAGCTCGGCTCCTCGCATGGCGCCTTGGGAGGAATTCAAGAGTTCATTCCGGTTTAGGGTTTAGGGTTTAGGGTTTAGGGTTTAGGGTTTAGGGGTTTAGGGTTTAGGGTTTAGGGTTTAGGGCTTAGGGGCTCAGGGTTTAGGGTTTAGGGTTCAGGGTTTAGGGCTTAGGGTTTAGGGTTTAGGGTTTAGGGTTTAGGGTTTAGGGTTTAGGGTTTAGGGTTTAGGGTCTAGGGTCTAGGGTCTAGGGTTTAGGGTTTAGGGTTTCGACGCCTAAATGACAGCATCATGTACACGTGTAAGATGAGCATGTGCCTCAAGCTGGCGATGCTCCGGTGCATCTGAGGGTGAGAGTCTTCGTTCAGGCTTGAGGCTTGAAAGGCTTTCATGGTTTCGGGGGTCTCAGGGTGACTTCCGGAGAAAACTGACAGACCTTAAACCCCTCTAAACCCCCTCTAAACCCCCTCTAAACGCCCCTAACCCCCCCCTTAACCCCGCCCTAAACCCCCCCAAACCCCCCCAAACCCCCCCCCCCCCCCCCCCCCCCCCCCGCTCCCCCCTAACCTCTACCCCCTAACCAGTGGACCCCCAAAGTCCTGAAAGCCCGTCCCAAGCCCCAAGCCATCTTGACCTCAAAGCTACCCCCCAAAACCTTAAGGCCCTTCATCCCCAAACCCCAAGAAAAACAAAACTCCAAAAACACCAAAGCCCTAAACCCCCCTCCCCCCCGAAGATTCCCTGAGTTGAGGGATCCATGACGAATTCCATGCGCGATGACTTGGTTCCCAACTTCAGACTGCTCGTCCTTGGGCCATGATAGGTTTTTCTTTTTACAGATGTAGGATTCTTCGGGGTTCTTCGGGTTTAGGCTGTTTCATTTTTTTTTTTCGGGGGGGGGGGGGTTGAGGGTTTTCGCAGTTTAAGGTTCCTGGGAGATTTACGATGTTCCTTAGGCTTCGTGTGGTGTTTTTTTGTATTTTGTTATTTTCGAATTTCATTTTAATGTTTTTGTTGGGGGGGGGGGCTCTGGCGTTCTCTTAGGGCTAAAAAATTTTTGGAATGAGGGTTCTGAGGGTGGAGGGCTCAAGGAACTGCCCCAGACCATTGCAGACCACGTGCTGCATTCAGGGTGAAACAAAGCGAAGCCACTACACCCAACTCCAAGCTTGTGGCAAGTTGGTTGTAATTTAGGCCTTAGTAATTAGAATAGGGTTCTGGGGTTTTTGTAGTAGAACCACATAGAGACCAGAAGGGAATCCTATCAGTATTTATTCCGACCCCTATAGTAGGGTGGACTTCGAAAAGCCTCGTTTTTGATACAGCCATTCCCTTGAGGACTTCTGGAATCACCGTAGGCAGACAGTTGCAGTTAGGTGCATCATTCGACACGCGCTTCCAGTTACCCAGCATCAGGGCGGTCATTGTCCTGCCAATAGCTTGGGATGTTCCCCGGTTACACTAACAGCTCCTTGATAGGGACTATAAGAGGGGGTGCTGTAATCCCTATGAAGGACCGTTAGTAGAAGGGAGAACATCCCAACCTATAGCCCCAAAATTCACAAATCCGAGCCCCAAAGCCCTTTCGAACGTTCAGGATCGGCGGGGTGCGTTTGGTCAATCGCGGGGGCACTGGTCACTGCGACTCGGCCTTACATTTCGGGCCCATGGCAGGCTCAGAAAAGCTTTAGGGTTTAGGGTTTAGGGTTTAGGGTTCAATTAAGTGGGTAGCAAACATATTGGCCACAGAAAACAGTAGTGGTATAATTCATCAGCTTAGTTCGCAAAAGTGATGACTTAGATGAGGAGCCCGTCCACGTGCCATTCCCTGGGACGTGCATGTCGCAGAGATGGCGGCTAAAAGCGTTCGTCAACGTCCACTTATAGGGTCCTTAAGGGACGGGGGTTTAGGGTTTAGGGTTTAGGGTTCAGGGTTTAGGGTTCAGGGCTCAGCCCTAGAATCCACACTGGGCCAAGGCACAACATCATGTCCCGCACCTTCGGTCGCGCCTTCGATACAAGTTTCGGCGACGTGTGGGGCTTGGGGCCAAACTTTAAATCTTAGGATGTTCCCCCTTATGCGAACAGTCCGTAATAGGGATTATAGTACCCCTGATTCTAGTCCCTATTAAGGAGCTGTTAGTTTAAGGGGGGACACCCCAACTTAAATCCCTTTCCCTATAAAAAGGAACCCCAATCAGGTACCCCCCTGGCTGTGAACAACATAGGGGGCCCCTGAATAAGTAGAATAGAGTTTTTTTGGGGGGGTTATTATAGTATAATCATAAAGGGACGGTAAGGGAATAATGTTGTAGTAAATGATTGGACTAGGGTTTTGGGGATACTATGGTATAATTAAGAAAGGGAATAGTATTAGCAATTATTCCGACCCCCATAAACCCTAAGCCCTAAACCCTAAACCCTAAACCCGAAACCCGAAACCTTAAACCCGAAACCCGAAACCCGAAACCCTAAACCCTAAACCCTAAACCCTTCTCATGGGTGTCGTTTTCTCTGAGGAAAGGCGGAGAATGAGAAGAACACGGCGGAGCAGGTGAGCTCGCTGCTTGTGGAGGCACCCGGCACGAAAAGTTCGGGGCTGATGCCCGTGATGTGGGGCTTAGGGTTTAGGGTTTAGGGTTTGGGGTTTAGGGTTTAGGGTTTAGGGTTTAGGGTTTAGGGTTTAGGGTTTAGGGTTTAGGGTTTAGGGTTTCAGGTTTAGGGTTTAGGGTTTAGGGTTTAGGGTTTAGGGTTTAGGGTTTAGGGTTAGGGTTTAGGGTTTAGGGCTTGGGGTTTAGGACGTGTGGCGGCCTTGAGGATAGCGTGACCTGCTTTGAGGGAGAGTGTTTGGGCCATGTGACGCGACATCTTGCCTTAAAGGTAGATTCTGGCTTCCGGGTGGGGTTCGCAGGCCCGAAAGAGATCGGGGTTGTGAGAGCGGAGCTGGTGTAGCGTACTTGGTATTACGGCTTCTCTCAAAGAGGCAGGCGATGCTCGTAAGACTGATCTGCTTATTCAGAACAGATGGCCACTGACTGAGCCCGCTAGGATTAAAATTTCGTGAGGGCCAATGCCTGAGCTCCATTTTTTTGTGCTTGGGCCTTGTGGTACATTTGCAAAGAGTTTCCGGCTCATGGTTTCAGGCAGTGGTTCATGGAAGCTACTTCCTGCCCAAGATGAACCCTAACACCACAACCCTAAAACCCTACCCTAAAACCCTAAAACCCTAAAACCCTAAACCCTAAAACCCTAAAACCCTAAAACCCTAAAACCCTAAAACCCTAAAGCACTAAAACCCTAAAACCCTAAAACCCTAAAACCCTAAAACCCTAAAACCCTAAAACCCTAAAACCCTAAAACCCTAAAACTCTAAAACCCTAAAACCCTAAAACCCTAAACCCTAAACCATCGAGGCCCAGGGCCTCTTCACACTTTTTTGTGAGCGCATAAAGCTGCGCCTGCCTCTGAGGACATGTACCATACCTTCCTGGATGCCAAGATCTCCGTGCAGCTGCTCCTAGGATCCGGGGTTAAGGTTTAGGGTTTAGGGTTTGGGGGTTTAGCGGTTTACGGGTTTAGGGTTTAGGGTTGCCTTATTTTCCCTTAAAAATGGCTACCCTTGTTTTATTCCTAGGTTACTCCTGGGTCTAGGCTCTTCTTCCTGATTCTGTACGTGGTGCTCTTCTGGCTCTATGCCTTCGTCTACCTGCTCATCAGCGCCTTGGCCCCTGAGACCAGGTGGGGTTTAGGGTTTAGGGTTTAACGATTTGGGGGCAGTGGCTTTAGGGGCCCCAAAGCCTCAGCCAGCGAGGCCATGTCAGTCAGGCCCCTAAATCATAAACCCTAAACCCTCACCTTGGCTTGACCTTGCAAAACCGTGGCGGTATGTATTTAGCCTCAGGAGGACAGTGCTTTGTGTTCGGCTGGTGCAAGAAGCCGGCCACCCCCACAAGGATGCAGACCCCGTCACATCCAAGCCTACAAACGGGACATGGTGTCTGGTATGCCCGAATCTTCCAAGGAGCTAGGGGTGGTAAGTGGCTTCCATCCCTAAGCCGCCCAAACTTTCAAGGTCAGCCCTAGTCCCTCAAGCAAGTTGTTTTTTTGTTTTAAATCCCTGCAGATAAGGATTGCAAGGCCCCGAAACGAAGATGTTGATGTGCCTGCCCTAAATCCCCCAAACCCTAAGCCTAAACCCTAAACCCTAAACACCTGCAAGAGGGGGGCCTTAGGGTTGAGGGGATAGGGTTTAGGGTTCAGGGTCTCGGGTCGAGGGTCTAGGATTTAGGGTTTAGGGCCTTGGGACTTTACTGCGTGGTGTTCCGGGTTTGCAGCTTCGTGTTTGCCGCAAGAAGAGCCACTGGAGCCCCGAAACCCACCTGCTGCAGCCACCCTCCTTGGCAAGTCGCGTAAACGGGACGCAGCCGGATGGGGTGGACGGCGGTGATCAAGGCTGTACTTGAAGGTTCAGGGGTCGTAAGACGTGGGGTTGAAGTACCTTAACCAAGGTCATAAAAAACAGGTTACCTGACTTATACCCCTGCCCATAACGGCCCACGAACCTTCAAGTAGTGACGCAAGTGATGTAGTGTTCAGGGTGCTTAGGGGAAAGACCTGCGGCCCGGCTTGGGGGGACCTTCGTCCCGGATTTGTCTCCACCATATCCTCACTGCAGAGTCGTTGTAGAGTCTGCCCCAAGTTTGGTTTTGCTTTGCGCTGCTTTTTGGCCCACAACCCGGAAATCCCAAGGCAAAAGCTCAACATCACAACAGGAGACCTGACACTACGGAACTGTCCTTTCATGATGTTTCACTCGAGGACAGAGTTATTCACATCATGTGGGACGTGTACAGAAGGCCTTGCGGTAGCTACTTGCGCAGCACAAGAAAAGCATAGCAGCCAGGTTCCATTCCGGCATGCTGCTCAAATCATGGGCTGCTGCCTAACGAATCACGAACCGCCCAAGTGTGTGGCAGACAACAACTGTTTCCGTGGATGGCTTGCGTTCGACCGGTGCGTTGAATTGCTGGATATCTTGTCCACCTGGGCATATTGTCGGGCAGCCTACCAAAGGATGGTGGACGACAACGTCGGGGAACCAAAGGGTGAAATTTGGGTTCTCTCGGTGATCATCCTGCTCGTGTCCTGGTTCTACACCTTTCTCTTTCATGCCTTCTTCTTGTGCAAGAAGAGCCGGCTTTGCCAAGCCTCCGCCTGCTTCCTTTGTTTTCTGACGCCACTTCTTGTCTTCTTATGTGTGGGCCTCTTGGAGTTTACCCCTGCGACCTATGCGACCCTCGGCTGGCTCTCCCTGGCTTGCCTGCTTCTGGGATCCGCGGGGTTGTTTCTAATCGCCACGACCGGCACAAGAATGCATGGGGAGGTGCGCGATTCAGCCGGCCTCGATATCCCAATACTAAGCTTTCTCTGGGTCTGCTTTATGCACACTCCCAAGCTGAAGGGGGCTACCGAGTTCCGTGGAAAGAACGCATACAGCGAGATGTTGCGAATGGCACAAGATGTCCCTTGCATATTGATCAGCTTCATTGACGTCAACGTCTTCGGTTTCAGCTGGTACGCAGTGCTAAATCTCAGTTCCAGCTTTCTTGCTCTGCTGTTGTACCTATACACGCTCGTTGAGAAGTGGGTGCCGCCCCCTCTTGGACATCGCCAAATCAAATTCTTCGGAGCTGTTTTGCCATCCTGATTCAGGCTTGCAGGAGTGAGGGGTCGCCAAGAAGATTTAGCACCTCTCCTTGAAGGCCGTGGGCTGAGCTGGGACGAAGAAGTAGACGCAGAGACGTAGAGACGTAGAGACGTAGAGACGTATAGAGACGTAGAGACGTAGAGACGTAGACAGACGTAGACACATGTGGACCGACTGTGATAAGCCCTCTTGATTAGTATTCTGGTTCTTATGGTTATGACTACGTGTATATTATGATGACAGCTAACCGTAGACGTTTAAGTGGTCACGATTTGCATCTTGTAGACTCTCCAAAGGGTTTTCGTGCCTTCAGCCCAGAGGGCTAGGGACCATCAAGTCTGGCTTAACATGGGCTGACACATCGAGACCAAAGGCATGTGCGCGGCGGGGTTTCGAGAAGTGGGGTGATGAACATGGACGGCTACACGCGATGAGCATGTTTGAGATTCCTCCCGGACCACTTAATGTAGCAAGCTGTACATTTGATCCAGCAGTGGGTACGTGTAGGATGCCTGATTGGATCCTTCGACTATCCCTTACATAAGGCTAAACACAGGTAGTGAATCTCAGGCGCAACGGCCTACGCCGTAGGCTCTGGACGTGAGAGTTCTCTAAGTCCAAGTGTGATCAGGGTTTAGGGTTTAGGGTTTAGGGTTTAGGGTTCATGAAGGGTTCAAGCGAACTTGTTGAGGGTTTGGGGGTTCCTGAGCCGGGTGTGTTTTCTCCGGCTTGGGCGCTCGGCTTCCTTTTCTTTTCCCCATCAACACTGCGATCTTTTACATGCGGTCTAACAAGCTCCCCCTAAAACCCTAAATTCTGTGTTGATACGGGAACGCCGATCCGACATCACGGAAAGTTGGCTGAACAGTTCGAGTTTTGTGTGAGGCAGCACGAGATCCTTGAGCCTTATAGCCTCAGCCGCCCAAGCCTTTAATTTTGAAACCCTAAACCCTAAACCCTACACCCTAAACCCTAAACCCTAAACCAACCCTAAACCCTAATCCCTAAACCCTAAACTTAAACCCTAAACCCTAAACCCACCCTAAACCCTAAACCCTAAACCCTAAACCCTGAACCCTGAACCCTAAACCCTAAACCCTAAACCCTAAACCCTAAACCCTAAGCCCTAAGCCCTAAAGCCTAAACCCTAATCCCTAAACCCTAAACCCTAAACCCTAAACTTAAGTCCTTCGGGCCCAACGTGCCCAAGATTTTCCCCACATGGCATCGTGCGGGATCCCAAACATTGCCGACTCTGTCCCCTTATGATCCCTATACAACCCTAAACCCTAAACCTAGAACCCTAAACCCGTAAACCCCTAAACCTCTAAACCCCTAAATCCTAATTGAAAACTCCGCGTGTTTGGGAGATCTGCTGCTTTCTGCCGTCCCACAGACTTCCGAGCAGGTCGGGAAGGATGGTTGAAGATGAAAATCCTTAATTAAGCCCAACACACCAAAGGAACCCTGCGCCCGAAGCCCTAAACCCTCAACCCTCAACCCTCTCAACCCTCAACCCTAAACCCTAAACCCCAAACCCCAAACCCCAAGCCCTAAACCCCAAACCCCAAGCCCTAAACCCTAAACCCGAAACCCTAAGCCCTGCTAAGGCAAGCCTTGCGGTCTCGAGCTGGACGGGCATCTCATCAAGGCGTCGCTCGTCTGACGCTTCCTCTATCTGGGTGTGTCGGCGATGCGGTTTGGGGTTTGGGGTTTAGGGTTTAGGGGTGCTGTTAAAGGTTACCGAAGGCAAAAATCTATCCACAAGACTGAGGTACTGGATCGGGAATATTTCATGTCAGGGGGTTGATTATCACGGGCAGGCGATGAAGCTTAGATGGTTTTGCAGCCCTGAACATCTGAGGGCATGTGATTTGCCTTTGAAGTTTTGCTTGCGATATGGCGCGTTGTCTATCTATAGTGAGGGTGGGGAGTTAGGGTGGTTGAAGGGTTAGGGATTTTGGGCATGTTGGCTCGATACGTTTTCTTGATCATAATTACTGCTTCGCATCTGGTGACGAGTCACTTTTATGAAGAATCATCTGGCGCATGCGCGTGTTTGCTTTGTGTGTTCCATGGGCTTGACGTCTCATTGCCTGGCTGTCCTCTTCCTCACCACAGTTGGTTGATATTGCCATGGTCATATCAAGAGTCTAGACAGTTTAGGGCCCTGAAACCTAAACCCTGAACCCTAAGCCCTAAACCCTAAACCTTAAACCCGCGCCGCGTCCAGCGCCCGGACAGAGGCGCTCGGAGCGGAGATAGGCTGATGATCTAAGTGGTATTTTGATGGCAGGCCCAGTACTTTCCTGGCCTGGTGTCATGATTTGATAGTTGGTTGTGGTCTCACATGTAGCGTGTTTTTTTGGTCTTTTTCCTCGCAGGTCTTAAGGGTACGTTGCGCGTGAAATACGTGATGCTCAGAAAATACCATGCCTGACAGGTTAAGCAGAGTTGCAGGTGACGAGTGCTTTATCGGGAGACACCGAATCTACTGCCCTGGGCAGGAAAAGCGAGTGCGCCCGTGCTGAATACACGGTGCAGGCTAGGACAAAGTGGCAAGAGCGTTTAGGGGCAGCGCAGCGATTTCTCTTCCGCTTTCAGTAGCAGCGCAGCAAACGTTTGTCACATCCCAATCCTTGTTGGACCACCGACCTGTGTTTACATCCACTTGAAGAGCACCACTTAAACCGGAAACCCCAGCAGCCAACCTCAACGCCCCAAAGCCCAATGCGGAAACCAATGAATTCTCAATAGCCTTAAAGCACAACAGACCCCCTAAAACCTGGATGAGCCCGCCAGGCAACATCAAGCAGAGGTGACCATGAATATACATCCTCCTCTTTCGCACGAATCATTGTTTACACGGACGTTATTATCGTGCAGGCATGGACACGAACGGGTAACATGGACGTTATCATCGTCCGGGCATGCATGCTCTGGCCATTCGCACACAATGGTTGCGCCGACGTTGTCATCGTGCGGGCATGGATGCTCTGGCCATTTGCACGCAATGGTGGCACGGACGTTGTCACAGTGCAGGCATGGGCGCTCTGGCCATTCGCACGCACTGGACGCACGGCACGCTCCCCGGGCAAACCCTGTGGAGCCAAACCCGCGGTTTTTGTTGAAGCCAACTTGGACCGGCAAGAGCCACGAAGGCGCAGTGCCAAGCAAAGAGCCCTCCAAAAATGCGAGAGACACATCCGCAAAAGTTCTTCCTGCTTTTTTGGCGTGCGACAAACCGAGAAAACCGTCGCACCCCTCCTGTCACCTGGAAACTGTGCAGTATTACTTTGTCATATTAAACAATAATGCATTTTCTGTATAGCAACTATTATCGTACGATATTATGATACTAGTACAGCATTATCTTATCATCTTACGATGGTTCAACGAGGTATCTACTGTCGCTGGAGACCATGCTGACCATCGGCTATGGCATCCCAGACCCGTACATGAAGGGCTGCTGGCAGGGACCTTTCGCCGCGGCCCAAGTCTCATGGGTTTCCCTACCCCCCTGTATACTACCCCCCTAGGTTCCCCCATAATCAAGGCTCTTTAGGGATAATTAAGCCTAATTAAAGAGGGTGGTAGTAGGGAAATCCATGAAAGTCAAGTGCACCGCTGCCATTCCAGGGGTCGGAATGCCGGGCTTACTTTTGGGGTTGATACCCAGACCCCGGCAAGGATTCCAAAAGTAGAGCCCCCAAAACTAGTACCCTGTACTACTATGGGGTCACTCTTAGGAATTCTTAAGGGGATCTACTTTTTGGATCCTTTCGGGGGTATGGGTATGTCTACTGAGGTGTTGACGTCGCAGCTGCTTCTGAATCTGATCATTAGTGCCTTGCTCATTGGTGTCATCTTCCAGGCAGCGTGGGGATTCTTGATTGGAGGCACTGCTTTTGGGAAGCTCAAATTCTTGTGCTATGCCCTAAACCACCAAACTGTCGGCAAGTAGACCTGGCCATGTCATAAGAAGACCATGCAGATGTGGAAGGAACGACAAACCCGCTGTTTTGGTTTAAGGAGTTGGGGAATTGGGGTTCAGGGTTGAGACCCACAGATGATAGAGTGGTTTACGAAAATAAGGGACCCCTAATATACACCCCCAAACAGCAGGATACCCTTAGAATCAGGACCCCAATAAGGTACCCCCCCCCCCCCCCCACATTTCGGAAGCCCCCTATGGTTACCCCTAAACCCTAAATCGTAAACCCTAAACCCGACCCTAAACCCTAAACCCTGAACCCTAAACCCTTAACCCAAAAAAGGTACCCCCTAATTTCGGACACCCCCATACCAACAATCCCTACTGCGCAGGGCATTGCGCGGCCGCAGTCCAGGGCCTGCACCATTCTCTGCAGTGACAAGGCCATCATCCGTTCCTCGGCAGGGTTTAGGGTTTAGGGTTTAGGGTTTAGGGTTTAGGGTCCAGGGTCTAGGGTCGAGGGTTGAGGGTTTAGGGTAACAACCTGGGTTGCCAAGCGCGCGCCTCCCTGCACGGCTGAGGCTGCATCGACGGCGCCTACTACTTCATGTTCCGCGTCTGCGACTTGCGGTCGCAGCACGCGCTGGTGGAGCCGCACATACGCTGCTACTGCGTGGAGCAGAATGACATCCGAGGCAGCCTGACAAATTCTTGAAGATCTTTCCCATTGGAGTACACTATATTTAGCACTATACATAATATCATTTTTTTACGGGGTCTTACGAAAATAAGGGACTCCGACTAGACTTGAGTATGATGGAATCCCCTTGTAAAAAAGTGCACCAGTACAAGGTACCGATACCGGGGGTAGGCCAGTGGTGGTTCTACTATCAGGGGGGAGGGGATAGGGGCAAGCCCTCCTCACTGAACCCGCGCGGTGCCGAGTTGAGTTTAGGGTTTAGCGTTTAGTAGGGTTCAGGGTTCAGGGTTCAGGGTTCAGGGTTTAGGGTTTAGGCCAAAGTCAGGCCGAAGGCCTTAAGCTATTTCAAAGGCATTGCTGGCTGCC